CATGTGTCCTCAAAGGAGAGAGAGGAGAATCTTGAGCCCCATGAAGACAGGGACTTTGGGAAGGAGTCTGTTCTAGTATAGGAAGATGGTAACTCTGGAGGACCAGCCTGAGCGGGGAAAAGATGGCAGGAAAACATTTTAGTTTAGGGACCACAGGAAGCCCATTTCCTCCCCCACCATTTCACATTCTCTCTACCCTGAATCTCACTTCTGCAAAATCTTAAAATAAATTCTATCTCATGTTCTCTCCTTATGAGCAGTGAGGTCTAGGCTTGTGTGGCTCTAGAGGACAGCAAGGATTTCTTTTTGGCTGGGTTTCTGTTCCCCTGCTCCTGCAGCTGTTTAGTCCCATATAAAACACACAGAGGCTTATATTAATTATAAACTGTTTGGCAGATGGCTTATGTCTCTTAATGCTAACTCTTTCTTAATTATTAGCCTATTTATATTAATCTGTATGTCTCCATGAGCTCCTGATTTAGCCCATGATGCCAGGACCTCTTGCTTTACCAGCAGCTAAATGGTATCTCCCTGGTGGCTCATGTCTCTTTCCTCTTCTAAGTATTTTCCTAGTCTAGGAAACCTGACTATACTTCCTTCTAGGCTACATCCTGCCTGCCCATGGGCTGAAACAGCTTTATTCATCAACCAGTAAGTGAAGCATATATTCTCAACATACAGAAGGACATCCCCCACAAGGTTTAGAGACTATTTGTGATAGTCTGGGAAGCATCTGACTGCATTCTAACCATGCCTTAAAATTTTGAGTACAGCCAAATCAAGTATAATTGACTAAGTTTTCTGCTGAAACAATTTCAATATAGCACAACATTGATGTTGTGCCTGTTTGCTCACTCTTCTTAGATTTACTGCAAGGAAAGCAGAAAGAAGTGAAAACTTGTAAGGTTTGGTTAAGAAAGCGGCATAAATGCAGCTAATGTGGTAAAGAGAAGAGTCAAATTCAGTTGTATGACATTAGAGAGATTGACAATAAGGAAAACCCTTTCCCTTGCACCTGAATAAGAGGAAAGGCATCTAGAAACTAAGAACCCAAGCTTGGGGAGATAAAACATCCAGTCTTTCTTGAGACTAAGGGCAGAATTCATCTGATTAGGACAACTTGTATTCTAGGGAAATGTTTCCCCAGTTTCATACAGTGAGGTGTTCAGAGACCACTGTGGATCACCGTGGCTGTGGTAGAAGGAGCCCTTGGATATACCTTCTGCTGGCAGCAGAACTCTGGCATCATCCACATGATGATGATTTTGGAGAGATGCAGGGTGTAGCAGTGAGGGCATGAAAGAGGCTTTTCCTTGAGTATCCAGAAAGCTGCTGAGGATGGGCAACATGAAACTCTTGAATGGGCTGTTCAGGAAGCAGTGAGGAGGAACCCTAATCTGCAATGGAAACCTCAGGATAGTGGAGATGCTGGAAATGTGGGTGTCTGCCAAGGAGAACTACAGGTGATGAGTAGAACTTGTCTGATAGAGATATCATCAAGCAATCAACAACACTAGAGAAGTAGCGTTTACCAAGCAAACCGAACCCTGATGATGCCATCTTGATCTCCAGATGACAACCAAACATGGAACTTAACCATTTGATGTTTGCCTCTCTGAGGCCAGGCTTGCTTTGGTCTCACCATCATTCACTGTGTCTCTGTGATGTTAGCCTCAATTGTCAACTTGACAATACCTAGGATCATTGAGAAGAGGGTCTCAGTGAGGGAATGTCTACATCTGGTCGTCCTGTGGACATGTCTGTGATTGAATAGGTCTTGATTAAGCTCATTGATATGGGAAGATCCAGGCCACTGTGGGCAGTGCCATTCCCTAGTTAGGGAGCCAAAACTATCTACAAGTGAAAAATCAAGCTGAGAGAAAGCATGTGAACATTGAAGACAAGATTCTGCTCTTGATTGTGGATATGATGTGCCTAGCCATTTAAACTTCCTGACTTGTTGTCCTCTTAATGATAGGCTGTCACTTGGGATTGTAAGCCAAGCAAACCCTTGGTCTCCTAAGTTGAAGTTGCTGGGCTTTTTTTTTTTAATCACAGCAACAGAGATGAAACTAGACAGCCCCTCTAACTCCCTTTCAGAGTAGACACAGTTGCTCAGCTTCTTTGTAGATGGGAAACACATGACTTGGTGCTTTATTTTTATAAGGACTCACAGTTAAGAGATGGCCTTGGGTCCTAAAAGAGACGTTAGAAATTGGAACAGTACTGAAACTGCTAAGACATGAGGACTTTTAATGTGAACTGCCAAAAATTTGTAATATTAGGTAACTATGGGCTCATTGGGGTCAGGGACAGCTTGCTATGGTTTGTCTGAGAAATGTCCTCAAGAGGCACATGTATTTGAGTACTTGGTCATCAGATGATGGCTATTAATTTTCTTGTGTGTGCACCACCCCATACCACAAACTGTTTCTTCGGGGTACACAACTTTTCTCTGCCCTACACTTTACCTTCACCCCGGGAGTGTAGGAATGACCTGGCTGATGTTACTGCTTGGATCATGGGTGAGGTGTGAAGTCATAGGCTGTGATGGACAGATGATATTAAAGGATCAAGATATAGTAAGCAAGGAATATGAAAAATGAAAAGGGAAAGGAACAGACTTGAAATATGGGACACCATGAAAAGACCAAACTTCCAAATTATAGGAATAAAGAGGGAGAAGAATCCCAAGTCAAAGGCATAGGCAGGTCTTCAACATAATCATAGAAAAAATTCCCAAACAGAGGAAAGACACACATACAGATAACAAGAAGCACCAAGAAACCCACTAGACAAGACCTGAAAAGAAAACCATATCATAGTTCAAACATGAAGTGTGTAGATCATAGGAGTATTGAAAGCTGAAAGCACAAGTCACATACAAAGGAAAACCCTTCAAATAACAGCTGATATCTCATGGAATTTGAGAGTCAGAATAGGCTGGAGCAATGCATTGGAAGTCCTAATAGACTGTGACTGGCAACCTATACTAATGTACTCAGCCAACTATCTGCCATAATTGAAGTAGAGAAAAAACTTTGCATGATATAAACAGTCTAAAATGTATATACAAGATCAATTCTAAGAAAAACATGGGAAGCAATATTGCAAGCTGAAGAGAGAAGTGAGCATAACCAAGAGATTGTAGAAAGGCAACAAAGCTATAATTACTGAAACACAAAATAGCACTGGCAACACAACTCCACTAAAAGTCAACAACACAATGAATGCAATCAATACACACTTTCAATACTAATTTTAAATATTAATGACCTCAGTTTGCAAGCAAAAGACAGGCTTATAGTTGTACTTGTTTTGTTCCTCCAGATAGATACCAAATAACCCCATTAAGATTTATTATTAATTATGAAAGCTTGTTTATAGCTACTTCTTATAACTTAAATTAACCTACTTTTATTAATTTAAGTGCTGCCCTGAGACTCATTTACCTCATCTACATACTTCCCATCCTATCCATTCAACATCTCATGGCATCTATTGAAACTGTGTCCTTCTCTTCCTTCCTATTCTGGTACTCCCACTCAGTCTGTTCTTGCCCAGATATAGGCCATTCAGTTCTTTATTAACCAGTGAGAGTAATACATATTTAAAGTGAACAAGAGTGCTCCTTTTTGTCATAACAACCCAATAATTCTGTTGTAGTTCCAAAGTTGCGATACAACCAAATACAGAAAACTAGGTCCATGGAATTATACATAACTATTTAAAAAGGAAGGTTTTAATTTTAACATAGTCAAACTATATATAACTAAAACAGTTGTTGAGTAAGAATTACAGTTACAATATCCAGTCCAAAGGCAAAATTAAAGAAAATATTTTATTATCTATTTTTGTGGGTCTTTAGGTTTATACCTAATGTACTTTATCATAACTAAGGAAATTTCTAAGTCTAACTATTTAGAATTAGATTCCATGAAGGTGTAATTTTACCTAACAACAGGAACATCTGTCTGCCTGGACAGTCACCTAAAGTTCTTCTCTAAAACTGAGGCATCAGGCCTATAGGCATAGTATATCTGAGATACATTTTTGAGAAGCAGGAAATTTTAAAGGAGTGTCCTACCTTGTCTTGGCAAAGTTGGCAGATTTTTTGTGTCCTGCTGGTCCAATTTGGACACTATACTGTCAACTATTGAGGCAAGGCATTTTTTTGCTCAAATGGCTACCCTTTGCCATAAATAATGCCAACTCCATCCAGAGGTTCTTTGATGTTGATGGGGAATGTACTTCTTATTGATTGTCGAATAAAGTAGTGTTTGGCCAATGAGGCAGCAAGGTAGGCAGGACTAGGAGTCGAGGAGGATTCTGGAGAATGTAGTAAAGAAGTCTTGCAATCCAGGCAGGAAGTGACATAGCAGGGAGACTCATATATAAGCAAGGACAAGAAAGAAGTCACCCTTTTCTCTTGGTCTTCCTCCTCGTCTCT